AATGAAGATTGCATCATTAATCTAGTTAGTTTTATTGAGATATTCGGTTTTGAATGTATATGAGCATTTTGTATATGAAAATTTCAACCAAATCTCCTATATAAACATTAAACCAAAAGCGCCAGCCCGTGTAACGCCAAAAAGAGCTGAAACATTCAGTTTTATGTATTCCCATCATATTTAATAAAGGAACCCATAATTTAAGAGTCTAATTTGACGCCTTTCAGTGCTTTGTTGACACTTCTCCGTCGACATTGTTGGTACCGGTTCAGCCGCAGGTGCTGGTTCCTATTAGGGAACATGCATGATTAGCTTAGCATTGGAGGAGGGATGGGAGGTTTCAGATTTTGTGACCCTTCATGTATTAAGTATAGCAAAATACGCTCCGAGGGTCCCTTAGCAAATTTGGCTGAAATCGTTTTTCGTAGTCAGCATCGCTAAAAAAATCATCCTAGTTGCTCTGATAAAAATAACCATAAAATTACAATAAAATATCACAAAATACAATAGATTCTATTGTTGACAATTCTATTTATTGGTCAAATAATTAAATAGTCACCACAATAGGTTTACAACAAATTCTATGAAATCAAAATTTTGCACAATAAAAAAAAAATATTGTAATGAGATCAAATCGTTCGAGAAAAAATTGATATTTTTATGGTTACGGTAACTAACAACCCCCCTTTTCTGTTGTTAATGTCTTATTAACAATAGATTATATTGTACATAACAATAAGTTCTATTGTATTTTTACTGTTTTTGACAACCATTGGTTTTATTGTATTGTATGGTTTATTTTTATTCGGGTGGTCTATCCTTCGGCATTTTCTTGCCCGAAGCCGAATAATTTTACGCAATTTTGCGATGCAGCAATGAGAAAAATATGTCAACTTGTGAGCTAACTTTACTTTTGGGTTAACTTCACCAATTTAATTCCGATAAAAAAACTTGTTGATTACAGGGTACAAAACACCCTACATTCAGTTTGAATCCAACATGTCTTCGAGTTTGACGTGTTGGTATGTATGGGTTTCTATCAAGGGGTAAGTCACTCAACACAGTGTACCGGAAGTACATTTGGCACAGCTTGGGAACATCTATTGACACACTTTCGGCACAATCTCGTAGGCATTGGATTGTTCATTAAATAAAATGGGAGCACTGCTGGACAGCTGTCATTGAAGTTGTTCACAACATTACGTGCTGTTTGACTGTGTATTTCGGAAACATACTCTAATTGAATATACTAGAGGAACTCAGCAATTCACTTCTCGGTTCAGATTTAAATTCGAAATGTAGGCTTCCGAGGGCTGTCGATTGCTATCGATGCCGGTCACAAGTCTTTCAGCTACTGCGCAAATGGAGTGAACTACGAACCGGAATGCAAGAACAATTTGGATGGATTGGATCATGCAGTGATGGCGGTTGGATACGGAAAACTCAAAGGAGAAGATTACTGGCTAATCAAGGGCTCCTGGTCCAACTACAATGAGCAATGATAGATATGCTTTGATGGCGGTGAAGAGTAGCAACTGTGGCATTACCACCGATGCGACATATGTAAATTTGAAGTGAGATTTCTGTTTAAATTAGAATTAAGTAAATGAGAAGTTTTAGTTTCGGATATGTGTCATATTACACGACATGGAATAAATGGTTTTCGATGTTTGTAACAATAAATAAAAAAATATAAGTTAATTAGGTTGAGTTGGCACCCGTGTGATTGTGTCTTGAAATTAGTTCGGTATTGTTCAAGTGAGTTTGGTTTGGTGGATGACCAATTAACCACTTCATTCGAGCAGATAAAATGACGTTTACTACCACTCGAACTTTGAAATGAAACATTATTTTAAGATTTTTTCTTCTAGAACCTCGAGAAAAGTAGCCAACATTTGTGCGTTTCACAAAAAAATAGAAATTAGTTGGTCCAGTTTTAAGAAATCGCTGGTAGAAAGTCACGCAAAAACTGCTTGACAAAGTGGTCAATTGACCGATTGCTGGTGATTTGCTGCTGAAAAGTAGGTTCCTTACAAGGATGTGGATCCTGTCACTCCCGAGCCGTTGCCTCAACATAACATTTAATGATTCCACTCACTCACTCGAAGCTCTTGTCCTTGACTCACCACGATTCACAGATATCCCCCGGGAAGTTGTTCTTGGAGAAGACGCTCAACGTTTTACCATCCTTGGATCCCTTGATCACCTCCAGCAGCTTTTCAAAATTGGCCTTGTATTTGTCATTCTAAACCCGAACCAACCCCCGTCCTTCTCGATCCGCTTCAAGAAGTCGATCTTCTTCTTACTGGTCAGGAAAAAGATGGAGCACCGTAATCGCATCGGTCAACTCGTAACCCAGCAGCCAGGTCTGCAGCGAGGTCGATTTGCTGTAGATGGTTTCCTCGTCTACGCCGACCGGCGTCAGAATGCAATCCACCTTCTGGAGCGAATGGAGCGAATCATCATGCGAAAACTCTGGTTCCTCCAGTTGGCGTAGAGGTGGTTTATTCGTCGGCAGAAGGAATCCTTATCGAGCACGACATTCGACATTTTCGGGGCCGTTCAATTATCGCATACAGTTTTCGATGCGGTGACACTTCCGGTTGCTCTCCGGCTTTTTTTTTATTTGTTGTGTCCTGTTGGACGGCTTAGACCGCTCACGGTCCATCTCACCAGCATTACTTTTTGGTTGTCACTAGACCGATGTTATCCTTGCGAGTGCAAACCAAAACATTCAAGCTGTCAAAATACCGGGTTGCCAAATATACCTTAATATTCGTATTTTACAAAAAAAAAAAATATGCAGCTTGCACACCTGTGGCACACCTGCGACACACTGAGAAAACTGTTGACCCAAGATTGATCCCTTGGTATCGATACGTTTGAGAACGGCGGCATATTCTTAGGCTCTGAACCATTTGGTGGATTATTTGAACTTTTGGTTATAATTTGATAGACGGAAAGTTATCGGTTAACCCTGCTATCCGAGCGTGGTTACTTCTGACAGACAAGAAGTTGAATTTTGACAACCTTGGCTAAGAAAATAACTTTCGAAATGTCACTTTTAATCACGAGTTAAATTTAACTCGACAAATGGTCACACAATTCGATGGCAAAATTAACAGATTGCTTTGATATTTCATAAACATGGTGGTTTCAACATGTGGCTCAGTAATAGATAGCCCTCGGGTTTTTTTATAATTAAAGCAACCACATATTCAATTTTGACAGCCTTTGGACGACTTGAACCAAAGATAGAGTGATTTTTTTTTTAAATTTCCTATGTAGTAATTTTCAAAAATCTGCATCCAACCTTTTTCGTCACTCTAGTATACATTATATCCGTTGAAAAACAGCTATGTTAACTTAAAACTACTTTTCTCATTTACTCATTATAAAATAATAGTTGCGGTAGAACTCTACGGTAATTTTTACGGTAGAGATCTACGGACGGAAATGGTTTTTAAGATTCGCAATACACGCAACTTGCACAATAAGTGCCGTCAGACATAGCGAGCATCATCTCTTATAATTTTAAGTCATGCTCACATAAATTTTCTCTAAAATTATCTTCATTTTTCTCTTGGAATATTCCTGAGGATTTTATTACCCTTCAGAAAAACCATGGAATTCTCCCAAGGGGATTCAACTCTGTACTTACTAATGTGTGCCGCGAGTTTTAGCTGTGTCGAAAGCTGTGCCAAGCGCTGTGTCGAACGTGCCGAAGTAAGCCGAAGTGTACCAATCAAGGTGTCAATATCCCATGACTTTGGCAACCCTGAAGTTATAATGACTTTTGTGATTGTGTTTTCATTTTCAATTTCTTCTATGGTTTCTGGCAAACATTAAGCTTCATTCTCATTTGAAGGCGATCGGAGCTGGCAGCGGAAGAGGAACTCGATGCCATCCAACCTATACGGTGTTGCAGCAAATTCGACCCGTCCAAAAGAAATGTGTGCAGAAACAAAGGTGTAAACTGATTGATAGTCGATGTAAAACAACCTACAAAATATGAAGTCCGTTCAAGATGGTTCTCAAAATGAAATCGAAATAAAAAATTTGTTTTTTAAGAACTCTAACTTAATTTCGAAAAATGAACATAGAATGATATGATGATATGCGAGAAAATTTTGATTTCTTCAGCAAAGAAATTAAATTGTCTATAACTATGTAGAAGCAAGTATGTCTTTAAACTTTAAAAATAAAAAGTTAAATCAATTAATTTGAAAAAAAGAGGACTATCTTAGTTACTACCTACACAAAAATGAAGATCTACTCTTGAAGACAAACTCTTACCAAGATGTCAAACCTCTAGAGTGCATAGTTTTAAAAGATATCGATATTCGTCGTGAAATTTTGCGATTATGACCATAGTGCCGGGGAGTGATTGATTGAAATTACGGCAAGCGTAAAAAGCTGGATTGTGTTTAAACCTTTACAAAACATCGAGTAAGTGAGAGTTGACTGCACCTTCAAGAAACTCTCGCTTTCATCATCATCAAGTAAAACAATATTCTTTCAATCCTCAAGAGCAAACACTTCAGTGAAGGATATTGAAGGGTCGTAAATAATAATAAAGTATAGATAAAAAAACTGTAGCGCTGTATTATTTACATTGTAACTGATCTTGAAAATGATCAGTAATTACGACAGATTAATTGACGCTCAATACAACTGATACAAATTCTACCAGCATGAACGTACATACTCGTAATCGTTTGTATGCATTCCAAACATACTGCTCTAAAAAAAAAGTAATTTACTATCTCAAGTAGGACCTCTTGATAGTAAAGCAAATGCGCTATCGCTTCCACCTTGAACGTAGACTTAAAATCATGTCTATAGCAGAATGCTAACCTTCGGCACGTGATGTTTGACTCATATACCTACAGTCATCTGCATCGCTTGAATACCGACCGTGTGTTCGAACAGCGTGACAAAATGCTCGTTCACAACAGAGCAATTTGTCAAAATATACCTCCATGCATATTATAACTCACCTGTAACGGCCTGAATCAGCGCAAAGCACATCAGCGTATGTCGTCGACCGAATTGATCCGAGATCCAACCGCTCCCCACGGCACCCATCGCCGCTCCCGCCAGAAAGCACATCTCGACGATGCTCATCATATGCGCCCGGTCACACACCAGCCCGAACTCGGTGATAACTGTCTGGCCGAAAATACGGGAATCGAACTCGTACCCCTGGCAACTGACAAGATCCAGTGAGGACCCGTTCACCGAACCGAAGTAGTCGGTAAAGTTCAGCTCGGTTAGCTGCTGGTAGGGTGCGTTCAGAAGCGAACATTGACCCCCGTTGGGTTGCGTTAGATTGCGCCATAGCTCGAGCGGTATCGAGCGGAGGTGCGCTGGGCGGGCACACCAGAAGTCGCGGTTTGCGGCCTGTGTGGGGGATGGAGAAAAAAAATGCAAAAAATTAATCATATGGGGAAATGAAATTGAATTTAATAACCGGCCATTATACGGGGATAAACCAAGCGACGACGATCGACGACGGACGACGGAAGCGTGAAACGAACGACAGCCACGATTAAATGTTGTCGGAAGAAGGTAAATGACGGGTTGGGGCAACGGAAGAGTATTGCGATCATTTTTGAAGAATTCATTCTAGATGGGATCTTATTTCAAATCAGGACGTATTTAAAATGAAGAACTGTGGCGTTGATTAAAGTATCTTTGGGAATGGCATAAAAATTTCCACGTTTGTCAAAATTTAAGAACACATTTTTAAGCTGATCCTAACTAATGGGTAAATTACTCAATTCTCAGTGTGTGTCAGCTACAGACTAGTACTCACTACCGGCGTTAGTGGTTGGATTTAAATGTTCAAAACAACAACTAATGGTCAGTGGGCGGGACGGTAGGTGGTCAGTTCCGCTGCACGTAAGGAGGTGCGTAGTGCAGCATTAAATATGCGGGTTCGTCGCTTGGTTTACGGACTCGTTTAAATCCTCAGTCAATACATTGATTCGTCAGCGTCGTCGATACCGTTGTTATTAGCGCATTCGAATCGATCTGCTATTTTTATCCACGCTGCTGCCGTTTTAAAATGCATGTACAATGACAGCATTTCAAGGTCTTACCAGTAGGTATGAATGTGTATACAGGTGATTCCAGCAGACGGACGTGCTGACGTAGTATTTTTATTTTATAGCAAACTAGGCAGGTATTTGCCGCTAACGATCATTTGCAAGTGTTTTTGCTGTCACCCTGATCGATAACTAAAGGACAATAAAACACGATTGTGAATAATGATAATGTGTATCACATTGATGATGACTTGATTGGAATAAACTGCTATTTCATTTCTACAATAGCAGAATTAGGTGTTCTAGATTGTCGGCAGAAGCTGTTCACGGAATGATTGGAGTTATTTGAATTGCAAAAATACTGATGTAGTAAAAATTATGCGATTCAACAATTTTATAATTTTTGACTAAATTTTGAATAGATCGCATATTGAATAGAATTTTGAATCAATTGACTTGGTTCGCAATCTTTAATATACTCTATAAACATAAATATTGCAAATACCGTAGACCCCTGTATCACCAGTAGAAAAGCGAGATTCTGATTGCCTTATTTGCTGTTTTGTTTTGATTCTGCGTTCCGTTTCGCATTTCACTTTTCTCCATTCCATGTGCTAAATGATGTTTGAGCATTTTTTAGTTTGCACGGCGTGCAGATTAGCGGGGTTCAAACTAAAAAGTGTTCAGATTAAGAACGGTCAGATTACCGGGGGTCCACGGTACAACGCTCAGGTCACAGTAACGAGCAATAGAAGTTAATCGATTTTTAATCGACGAAAAGAGATAGGACCTATTCATGAACACTAGTGGTGCTTTCCCAACGGCCAGCGGGAATTCCATATGCGGCCCATGGAGTGAGTTTGTGCGGGTCGAGGAATGCTTTCACTTTAAATGTGGCCCGTGAACTGGCAAACTATTTCTTATGCCTTGTACAAACTACGGAGTCATAATATGTTATAACAATTTTCAACAAGAACAATGCCATCAACATGTCCCTATAACATGCTCAGTATAAACATAGAATTTGGGGATTTTATCATTCTGCAGCTATAAATTTGTGAAAGCTTCGTCAAAGCCTTCAGTATACGGCGGTGTTTATTGTAAAAAAATGTCAGGAACAAAGACAACGTATGAATTTATATAAAAAAATATAATTTATAAAATTTCGTTTTTCACTTTGATTCGTTTAAACTAGGTTTAACAACAGTTTTGCTTTCAACCACGCTCTTTGTGATAGTGTTGGTGAAATTATGTGTACGCTCTCGACAAAATCCTTCCATTCAATGGAATATTCTTTTCTATAATGCAAATACAGTCAACTCTCTTACCTCGAAAGAATTATTTCGGAGAAAGATTTCGGATTTGTTTACCAAACTTCAAACAACTGATCAGTTTGGACAAATTTAGACATTGCAATTCATTAGTTTTAAAGGTCCAAAACAAGGAAAGCTCCACTACAATGTCATGATGTGAAGAACTGTGGAAATGCTCAAAGAACGCTATATTGAGATCCGGCGTTAAAGCCCCAGTAAGGACGTATTAAAAACCAAAAATAAGAAGATGATGATGATGATGATGATGATGGTCCTACCTCTTACCCCTACAAAGGTTTGAGCTGGACGATTTATCTTTAAGATAATTAAATATGACATTTTAACCAGGTTAGCAAACAAAATCGAACTGGTTTCAGTTACTGAGTAACTTAGTTCCCTCTAGAGTTTACAGTTGCTTCACAGCGATATAAATGTGGAAAAGCTCAGGCGTCCACCTCTTAGCTCGCCTTTTTGTCCACCTAAAATATTCATAAGTTTTAAGCAATCAAGAGTTAATGAACAATCAACAAAGCATCCTATTACACTAGCAACCCCGCAATCTGATGCTATCATAATTTTCAGCAATGTCAGGAATGCTCACGAACCCCCAACATTTGTCAGAAAACTTACTATTAACTCAAGGTATCTTCCAAATAAGCTTCAAAATTGCATTTTTTTTAATAAATGTGAAACTCAGTCTTCTATATCCGTAATACGTGCGCGAGGCTCACACCTTTGTAGACTACTTTTTTTTTAAATTAATCTACTATTAAATCAAATATTAAAAATTCATCATCACCATCGTGGCGAACATAAATAGTTTTTGCAGTGCTCTAATTAAAAAAGTCGTAATGACAGCTATCCATATAAAATAATCCGTTAGAGATAACTTCGTCAAGATACATAATTTGTCAATTCATAAAAAAATCACTGGATAACTGTTTAAAAGACAGCTTTAACGTGTGAAATGCAGTGTCTTTCAAATTCTGTAAGTGTTGCTGAACGTTTGATATGTCTAGGCATCGAATTGAAACCATTTATTCCTTTATAATATAATGAACATTTTGAAGCACAAGTCAAGAAATGTGGTGTTCTTATTTCAGCCGCGTTTCTAGTATTATATCTATGAAAGTCACTTCCTCTTTCAATTCGATCACACAAATATCGAGGCAGCAAACCGTTTATTACTTTAAAAATGAACACCATAGTCAAATATACAATTCTTTACTTCACCGACAACCATTGTAAGGCGTCTAGCATCAAAGTTGAGGAAGTGAATCTATTACATCTCAAAATCAAACGCATTATTTTATCCTGCTGTAATCTCGATACTTGTGTTGCATTAGCCAGAAATAAAATGGAAGGCAAAAGTCTAGATGAGGAGAGATGATTGAATTGTATAACTGTATTTTACTGGCAATAGTTAAATCGTTTTTCAGTCGACATAGAATTCCATACTTCTTGGCCATTTTCTTGATGACATTGTCAATGTGAGAGTTGAACTTAAGTGTGTCATCAATAATCACGCCAAGATGTTTAATCTCCCGAACGCGATCAATGGTCTCATCATCAATTACAACAGAGACGTTCTCATTTACTCTATTCCACGAAATTACCATAAATTTAGTTTTACTTGTATTCAATTTCAACTGCTTATACTTCAACCATCTACTTAGAGAACGCAAATCTTCATTCAAGTGTAAAACGGCATCATCTAAATCCTTAGCTGCAATGAATAACACAGTATCATCTGCAAAAAGATTAATGTCGTAAAATCGTAAAACACGTCGCAAGTCATTAATATACATAATAAATAACAGGGGCCCTAATACACTTCCCTGGGGCACTCAAAGGTTATTCCCCATGGGACTGAAAACATAATCATTAAAAACAGTCCGTTGTGTTCTGTCAGACAAATAGCTTTCAAACCATTTATATGCAGTACTCGTAATTCCAAAGCGCTTGATTGATCTTAACAACAAGGGCCTAGAAATTGTTTCAAAAGCGCATTTAAGATCCAAAAAACAGCAACAATCGTATCTTTACACTCCAAGATATTTCCCAACAAACATTGAGCGCTGATTAAAAGCTTATTCAGGCAAAAATATGCTTCTTCAGCTAAATAATAGCTTATTCAGCTTTTAATTAGCTCAAATTGTTTGTTGGATTTTCCACTTCGCTAATACCAAATTCAACGGAGTTTCGCAAGAATGACCTTCCCGATATCCCGATTGTTCTGGTATCAACAAACTATTACTATTTAACTACTCCAACAGCTGGCCATTAATAACAAGTTCTAAAATTTTCTCTAATGTGTGCAACATGTGACGAAACTTTTCGGCTTTAATCGTTCCAGCAACTTTTTGAATAGGGACCACTAAGGATTTCTTCCAAATTTGTGGTACATGTCCAGTTTGTAATGATTCATTAATAAGGTCCAGCAAGATGTGGCCAATGACATGAAAGCAATCTTGAATAACTCTAGCATTAACTCTAAGTTCATCTAATGCAATTGGGTGAAAACCTTTAAATCTACAACTACTATTAACTGGATGTTTCATTTTGTCAGGTTCATCGACCAATTCAATGGATTGATTAATCAATGAAACACTGTCTACAAAATAATCATTAAACTTAGCTGCAATTACTTGTTCTGACTGTTCTAATGCGCCATTAAAAGTTATGGACCGCGGTTTGCAATTACTAGGTTTTAATAAAGATTTCAAAATTTTCCATAACTCTTTGCTGTTGTTTTGATGTTGATCAATCTTCCTTTGAACATATTCACAACGAGTTTTCTTTATCGATTGTGAATACTTGTTACACGCGATTGTGTACCTATTCCAATGATTGTCATTATTTGATCTACAAAACTTTTTGTACCATTTGTCCCTTTTCCATTTAAAACGCAAAAGATCCAAATTGTACCAGCTGTTCGAGTTCTTCAAAGAAACAAACTTTTACTCAACTAGTTGATTAGTACACGTTTTCAAAGCGTTATTAAGAACAGCTGTAGATTCATCTAAGTTACCGGCCGCGA